TATTAAATTTAATTTGGAAATTTATTTGAGCGGATATTAATTTAATTTAATTTGTTGTACGCTGGTCTCACAATGCGTGGGGAAATAATTAAAGGGAGTTTATTTCAAATTATTATAGTTGCGTTTTAAAGACCGGCTGTGTTCGGCGCGCAATTTGGGGGAACCTTTCAACGTCTATTACTTGAAAAATATTGCGAAGAATATTACTACGTCGACTCGCCAGCAGAGGTCTATGGGTATTCGTAAAGTTTCTCGCAAGTGCTGAAATACGCGCATATCTGTATATATAGAATCTCGATTTAAGAACTAAAACAGGCGTCTAAGGTAGGCTCCCACTACATTACCTTACTGATGAGTCCAGTAGTGGAAGCCGGGACGAAACGCCAACTTGTGATATTCTTCGCAATATACTAAAAATTAGTTTTAAGTATTCGGTTGCGGCTGTTGAGGACTTTGTAAAGTCGAAACTGTCCGTATATATACCGGTATTATAATGAATTTATATATATTTCTAACATCTAGTATAAGCTCAATGTGTTCTTGACCTGGGAGGTATATTAAATTTAATTTACCGAGGAAGTTAATACCGCCCAGACGACGGAAAAAGTAGCTAATAGAATGGCTAAGAAAAATCAACGTTTTTCGTCGCAGAAGACTCAACCTCCAGCGGGACAACGACCAACGCAGCAGAGAAACCAGCCATTCCGCGTTGGACTTCCAAATACAAAAAACGATGTCAAAAGTAATGTCAAAACTATTACAGAGTAGATATAACAACACATGAAATACAAAAAGTATTGCATTAAAACCGTATCTTTAAAAGCTCTATAACGAAGTGAATACACAGAATTATGTAGAAATGTAGAATTTTCCTTTTTTAATTTTTAATTCACTCTCTGCCAATCAATGGTTAAAGCGAATATTTAAATTAATCATTATCGAAACACTGTTACATTTTGTAGCACTTTGTGAACCAACTGACAAACAACATACATGATAACTATGATAGTTATACTTGATAGGCTGGTTTTAATCTAAACTATTTTCATTACTTTTACTTTAACTATTTGTTTCATCCATCGGAAGTTTTTTGAGAGCAGGCCGCCATGTTCTTTTTTGAGTCATTAACAAATTGATACTCTGAAATTACAAGCAATTATTTTTTATTGTACGGCCTAGTATAAATTTCAAATTAAATCTCAATAACCAACTTTTATATTTTGTGCACTAAGAATAACATATTGCAGTTATTTTCTAGAAGACTGTAATATACAAATTCTATTCTGTTTTACTTATATATATGTATGTTCAATTTGAATTTGCATCTTGAATAATCTATCAGTACCTTTTCGTGGTACACATTCAACATAGAAAATATTCGTTATATGTACGTTCAATTTGAACTGGCAGATTTAGTAATATATCAGTTACTTTTCGTGGTAATATATTATATTAGATAATATCATTTAAAGTATTAAAGGTTTAAATTATTATGTTACATTATTAAATAATCATTTTAATTTAGAAAGGTTCAAAATTTTGGGTTTAATTTTCAAAGGTTGAAATTTATTGGGTTTTCTATTTTGTGGTTAGGTAATCGTTTTAATTTAGGAAGGATCAAATTTTTGCGGTTAGTTTTCAAAGGTTAAAATTTGTTGGGTTTTTTAATTGTTTTATACATGTTGAGCCTTTTCATTACTTATTTTTATTTTAAATACTCCCGACTGGTATAAAAAACATAAAATAAGCTTTGAAATCTTATTTAAAATAAAAATTTTCATTTTTATTAAAACATCTGTTTTAAATAACTTAATTTTTTAAAAATGAAAGTGGTAAAGAACGTTTAATCCTTTACAGAATTAAATTTAAAGAATTAATTACATAACTGGTACTCAGTCTTTCATTTTTTAAATAGTTTTTTATAGGATATAGTAATTTGACTTTAAATTATTTAAAACAGAGTGAAATCTAACCAATTAGTATTTTATCGCTTTGAAATGTGATTTTAACAGCACTAATCGTTTAATTAATATGATAATGTAATAATATGCACCGAAGATATACCTACGATATCACGTTAATAAATAAATAAAAATATATTGTCCAAAGTCGACGCGTTAATTAATACACCTCCGCCTCGCTTTCGCTATCCCCCTCACCTCACCGCACCGAGCGCAGAACAATACCATTCGACTGTAATGGGGCATTTGGATTGCACGCGTTGTTTATGTGTAGCTTTCGCTGTCCCCCTCATCACATCGCATCACGGAAAAAAACAATGCCATTCTAAATCGACTGTCATGGGACATTTCGACTGCACGCGGAGCGGTGAGGAGGAAAATGCATCTTTTGGCTGATAACATATTGCGGAAATTTTTTAGAAAACTGTAATATGCAAATTGTAATCTGTTTTACTTATATGTATGATGTTCATTTTGAATTTGCACCTTGAATGATCTATTAGTTACTTTTCGTGGTACATATTCAACATAGAAAATATACATTATGTATGTTGCAGTTATTTTCTAGAAAACTGTAATATATAAATTGTAATCTGTTTTACTTATATGTACGTATGTTCATTTTGAATTTGCACCTTGAATAATCTATCAGTTACTTTTCGTGGTAATATATTATATTAGTTAATATCATTTAAAGTGTTAAAGGTTTAAATTATTGGGGATCATTTTTTGATCAGATGATCATTTAAAGATTTAAGGGGATGCTGGAGTGACGGCCGAACTTGATCGAGGTCTGTAACACAGATTTTTCACCGTCCGCTTACGCTCTCTGGCGGCCACGCGCCGCCGGGCCACCGCCAGTCACTGTCTGTGTCTAATGCTATCTACCATGCTATAGCTCTTATTGCTCCTATTCACATTCCGAGTGAGTTGGAAGCGAACAAATACTGTCAGTACTAAAAATGTGTAATCTGTGAAGTACACATTTTTTAATAAGTGCTGACAGTATATATAAAATATATAGAATGTTTGCTTTCATCTAATGCCATTTTTAGCTTAGGATATCTGTCAAAACATAGGTCTGTTTTCTGTGGCAGAACTAGTACTTTGGAACTTGTGAGATGATATATGTTTGATATTTTGTTGAAAGCGAAAGGGTTCCAATGCAGGAACAGAAAACAAACTAAATACGTCAATATATATATATATGAATACATTGCACGTACATATGTAGCTGCTCTATCTGTTTTTGCTAATTCTAATAAGTTATATGAAATATTCAGATATCACTACTGAAGATCTCTAGTTTACGTACTCTATACATTTTCAGTACTGACAGTATATTTGAGAAAACAGCCTAATATGATATATTTGTATATATAATATTATACATATGTATAATATATTCCCAGATAGCCAAATTGTTATTGACAGAAAAAACTTTATTAAAATGAAACTTTCAATGCGCGACCACGGCGCGGGATCTCGACGCTACGTTGCCACGTCGGCGCTCCGAGTATGTTGGTTGCAGGCTGTGTCGAGCTGCGATGCTATGAATCGCTTTGAGACTGGAGACGGCTCACGCGCCGCGGACGAGAATTCAGAGCTTCATTCTAATAAAGTTTTGACTATCAATGGTCGCGTTCAGCAGACTCAACTGTTGCGGAGCAGATCTGCGAGTGCTCGCTGCTATTCGTTGATCTAAAAGAATATACCAATGGTCGCGTTCAACAGACTCAACTGTTGTACAACTGTTGCATGAAAGTCTGCTGAACGCACTCCGCTCAGTAACCGATACTCAACATGTTTAGTGAGCGGACGCCATTTTGTCCATCAAACTTTTTCTCCGCTATTTCAACTCAACATGTTGTAACACAATATGGTGGCACGCATGCGTAAAATATAAACACGAATTTGAGGTTAGAAGTCAGACGTATATACAAATGGACACTAATTTAAAACGATTTGCTTAATTTGTAAACTAAAGCTAGTATACTCGATTTTATAGCGCAAGTACATGGTATACCTAGTAGCGAGGAACACACGTAGACACGTAGCTGATTTCCTTCTTAGGCACAAATATTGTAGATCTTTTTGATGTTAATACCATAGAGATGTAAATAAATAAAAAATTCGGATGGAATTAGTCTCAAAATCTTATTTAATCTTTGTACGATACACGCTTGTAATTTGCGCGCGTGCTTCCACCCAGTGATACGCAGTATCTTGCTCCTTCGCGTTCGGGGATGGTCGAAAAATAATAACTGGATTTCTCTAAGTTTGAATACTGTTTATTGAATGGCTCGTGGATGCAGTGTACGGCGTTGCAGCGTAAAAGACATGTACAAAAGGATGTGACCGTTGCGTTGTACGAATGGCCGCGCTAGAGACAACAAACGAAGTGATGGCAATTGCGATTGCGAGTTCACCGCCGCGAACGACGAGCAGTTACGACGACGCACGAGCGCTTCGGCCAATCAGGCGCGCGATCCGGTGAAAGCGAGTTCGGTAGAAGTTAGGCGCCGGGCGCCATAATCAAATTAAATAAGTATACTTAACACGCCGCCCCCTTTGAAAGGGTGTACTTTCAATAAGAACACAAAAAAAAGCACGTTTGCTTATAATCTAGATAAAAGTGGCGCTCGCTAATGATAATGATGAGCGCATGTAAACTGAAATTCTCATACAAACAATAGGACCAACATCCCTGGTCCTTACTAGGCACGAAAACATATTTTACGAGTCTATTGGCAATATTGCCAGTTTAGAGAGAGGTCTAACGCATGACCCTTTGATGGTCCGAATTATGGTGGTTCGTGCAACACCGTCAGAGCCGGCGTGAGTTTCCAGAACTCGCCCTAATAGCCATTGCATTGGAGCTAGGCCTTGTTGTTTTATGAGCACGAGCTGTCCAGATTTCAACTGTGCACCTTTGTTAACCTTCCACTTATGACGTTCTTGTAAAGAATGGAGATACTAGGTGCTCCATCTTTTCCAAAAATGCTGCCTTATCTGGTCAACTCGCTGCCATCGAGTTAATCAATTCTCGTTCACGTCGCCTAAATCTCGGCAAGGGAGGCTATTCATAGCCGTTCCGACCAGAAAATGCCCTGGAGTGAGACAAGAAAAGTCGTTGGCGTCGCTACTTATTTGCGTAAGCGGACGTGAATTCAAGATTGCTTCAATCTCAGCAAGTACTGTCTGCAGTTCTTCAAATGTTAAATGGGCCCTGCCAACGATACGCGACATGTGATACTTGGCCGCTTTCACAGCCGCTTCCCACAATCCTCCGAAGTGAGGCGCGTTAGGTGGAATGAAGCTCCATGTAGTTTCTTGCTCGCAAAGGAATTGTCTTACGTCTGCCTGCACTTGCTGAGAGTTGAGGAAGTCTCGAATCTCTTTGATCTGGTTATGAGCTCCTGTAAAAGTAGATCCATTGTCAGAATACATACATGTTGGCTTACCTCTTCGGGAGATAAAACGCCGAAGCGCACCAAGAAACGCGTCCGAAGTGAGATCGCTCACCAGCTCGATATGGACAGCCTTGGTGGCAAAGCACACAAAGATAGAGATGTATGTCTTACGGGCATTTCGTCGTTTGCCCTCTTTTATTATAATCGGACCAGCGTAGTCCACACCACAGTGCGAAAATGGTCTCGACATCGTGACACGGCTGGCCGGCAAGGAACCCATCATTGCTTCTGATCGAATTGGTTTGACTCTGAAGCATGTTATGCAGCTTTGCAGAATCTTACGTGTACTTGACCGCAACGAAAGGGGCCGAAAGCGTTGCCTGACGGCGGTCATGGTAGCTTGCGCGCCGGCATGCATGTTACGCACATGTTCATGATTTATCACACGTTTTGTTAAATTGTGTTCGCGAGGTAGCAATATCGGGTGTCGTGCTTCAAGTAGATCGGAATTCTTTAACCTACCCCCCACGCGAATTAGCCCAATCTCATCTATAAAGGGCGATAGCGAGAGTAATTTATTAGATGTGCTAATGGGTTTGCCCTTGCTTAATGCCTTGTATTCCTCAGAAAACGAGGTTCTTTGTACTACCCTACATGCCGCATTCAGGGCGTGCGAAATTTCATTACGTGAGACAAAGCTAGTTGGCGGACTCGGACGATGTGTTTTACGGACCCTGAAACAATAGGCTAGAATGCGACAGAGTTTGTTCAGATTAGAAAATTTGTCCGTTAAATCATCAACTACAGAGCGTTCCAGGGAAACCGCGACCGCCGAGGTTACCCGCGCCTCCGGAATGTCGTCTTTGAGTTGAGTGAATTTTCCGCTAGGCCACTGATCCTGAGGAGATCGTGAGAAGGCCGGGCCTTGCCACCACATTGAAGAGTTCATTAATTCGTAAGGATCGGTACCGCGCGACAACACGTCCGCGGGGTTATCAGCGGATGAAATGTGACCCCAACATTCTGTTTTTGTCAGGCTTTGTATCTCGCCGACTCGGTTGGCCACAAAGGTCGACCACTTTCGAGAAGGTGATGTCAACCAATTTAAGGCTATCGTCGAGTCCGACCAGAGGAAGATAGCGTTGCGCGATAAGTCAAACGCGTTTCTAACCTTTTCTAATAGTTGAGCTAATAACAACGCCGCGGATAATTCCAGCCTTGGAAGAGATATAGTCTTGAGAGGTGCGATGCGAGATTTCGAGCAAAGGAGTTCCAAGCGATATTCATTGATGCCCTCTATTCGAATGTATATGCACGCCCCATAGGCACGCTGGTTGGCATCACAAAACCCGTGTACTTGAACGAGTCGATGATCCGACGCAAACTTAACGCATCGAGGAATCTGGAAATCGTTTAATCCCGGTAACTGTGACTTGAATCTGAGCCATCGTGATTGTATAGCTTGCGGTACGGATTCATCCCAAGAACAGCCTGCTTGTCAAAGCTCTTGAAGAATGAACTTTGCCGTAACTACAACCGGCCCTAGAATACCTAAGGGATCAAACAATCGAGCGGAATCTGACAATATTAAGCGCTTAGATACCGCGTGATGATTTACGTCAGTTTCGTACGAGAACCCTAACTTGTCTTCAGCTTGGTTCCACAAAACTCCTAAAACATGCGGATGCGCGCCGCTACTGATGATAGTTGAATTAATCCTCTGACCACCTACGTTGGTAAGCAGCTGTGGGCAATTTGACGCCCATTTACTAAGTTCGAAACGTCCTAATAGTAATAGTTGTGTAACCTCCTGTATTATAACCTCGGCGTCAGCAATTGTGTCTGCTCCTGTGAGCATATCGTCCATGTAAAAATCCTGTTTGACGCATTTCGATCCTACTGGGTATGTCGACTCGTGCAGCTCCGCCAAATATGTGAGGCATCTCGTCGCCAAATAAGAGGCGGAAGAAGTACCGTACGTGACTGTTATCAGTTCGTATGCTTATACGTCTGTGCTGGTATTGTCACGCCACAATATTCTCTGAAATCTCGTCTGAGAAGGGTCTACCAGAATCTGCCGATATATTTTAATTATGTCGGCTGAAATAGCTTAGCGATGTGTACGGAATAGCAAAATGGATATTAAGTCCTGTTGGACCACCGGCCCTACCGTGAGCGCGTCGTTGAGTGACGTCTCTTTACTACCCTTGCACGACGCGTCGAAGACTACACGGATTTTAGAAGACCGATCAGAGCCCTTGAAAACGCAATGATGCGGCAAGTAGAAGTCTTCCTCGAGTTGCTCGTTCGCCACCTTCGTATGTCTTGAAACCAGATACTCGTTCATAAATTCTGTATATTGTAGCTTCAGACTAGGATCGCGCTCAAAACGCCTTTCAATATTTCGCAGACGCTTAAACGCGATATCTCTTGAACTACCCAATTCGCCGATTATATGCTCTTTGATGGGAAGCTTTACCACAAATCTACCGTCCTGATTCTGAGACACGTTGCTTAGAAAGTGTTCGCATTGAGTTTCCACTAGAGTTTAACCAGTCGGATGCTCAACGCAATCCTCCTGGTGCCAAAAAAGGCTGAGCTGATCGTGTATTTGTGCGTTAGTTATAGTCGCGTGAAAGGACCGTACTTTCTTAGGATCTCCCCTTGAAAAATCGATTTGACCGGCTAAAATCCACCCTAAGCACGTTTTTTGTAGCGTTGGGTGTTTAGGTGAGGATTGTACTTGTCCCACGCACAATAGGTCCCAGAATATATCAACACCTAGTAATAAATCGACCTTAGAAGATTCGTAGAAATGCGGGTCAGCTAACTCTAAGTTGCGAGGTATGTCAAAGATGTTGCGATCGAACGCCGGAAGTGCACTTGTCACTTGCTCGGTCATAATACACTCGATATCTGTCGAATATGAATTTAAGCGAGATTGTATCCTTAAACGGACGCTTTGATTAGACTTGATGGTTGCGCCATCTACCCCTGAGATAACTACGTTCGTCGACCTTGGCTTTAAGCCGAGCTTGGTCACGAATCCTCTAGAAACAAAATTGGCTTGTGAACCGCAATCTAACAATGCACGGCACTCGATTTGCTTTCCGTGGTTATCATGAACGTATACAATAGCAGTCGAAAGTATAGTATGATTATCGTCCCGACGACTAGATGCGTGCAAGGCTAAGGCAGCTTGAGACGTTACTGATATCGGCTCCGCGCAATTTTCCTTGTCTTGATCTTGCGAGGTTGCGGCGGTCGCCATGTGCAGCAATGTATTATGCTTTGCCTTGCAATGTTTACAATGACCCGAAGGACATTTGCTAGCTACATGTGTTGTAGAACGTAAGCAATTAATGCAAACTTTACGTTCGCAAATCTCCGATCTTCTACGAGGCACTGAAAGAGCTAAAAAATCCTTGCATTTATAAATTGAGTGATCACCTTGACAAAAAGTGCATTTGTAGCCAATTGTTGCTGCACATGCCGACTGGCGCTTTGCCTGTGATGAATTTCGCGAATTATTACCTTTGGCAGAAACAGCGAGAGACCTGCCTGTCGCTTCTAGAATCTGACAACGGCGTGTTATAAACTCGAGGAATTGCTTCAGAGTCGGGAGCTCCGTGCCGTCTAAAGAAGACTGCCACTCTCGCAAAGTGGTTGTGTCGAGTTTAGCGCTTAAAATGAATATGAGAATATCGTCCCAGTGAGACGTCGGACGCTGGAGCGCTTGTAGGGCACGCATGTGCTTGGACGCGCCGTCCGCAATCTGCCTCAGCTCGCTGGAATTCTCTTTGACCATCGGAAGCTCCATGATGGCTTTAATATGCGTGTGCACAATAATTCTCTTATTATCGTAACGCTCCTTCAATAATCGCCAAGCAACCTCATAATTGAGATCTCCAGCGAGCTGATAATATCACTGGCCTCACTGAAAAGAGAAGAACGCAAGTATTGAAGTTTTTGCACATTACTAATCGATGTATTTGAATGTATAATTGAATTAAAGGTGTCAAAAAACGGAAACCACTCGTCGTATTTACCGCTGAAAGTCGGAAGGTTAAGTTTCGGTAATCGCACATGCGCGGTCGAGTCATGACCATCTGAGGCACTCGATAGCGCTGGCGACGGCGCTGAACTACGCGTCGATACTATGAATGATACTAGCTTTTCTCTAATTTTCGCTGACAACGCGAAATACGCATCCTCGAATCCTGGACGATCATTAGCTTCAGAATCGTCCAATGCTTCCATTCGCGCTTGAACCGTATTATAATCCGACCAACTGAGATCTAATTTCAACTTGCGCTCCTCGAGCTGCGCTATTACTGACGGCACCTTTAAGGTGCCTTTTCATGATGACGCTCGACGCTCATTTTCAGCGTCAAAAGGATCACATGACTACAATTGTTGCCAGCGACAACTGAAATCCGTGAAAAGGGCTTACAGCGTCAAATTTTGTGCGACAACTTAACCTACGCTTGATTGAAACCTATGCTTTTCGCACATCGGCAGGCGACATCTCCTTTGAGATTTTCTTTGAGCATGAGATCTGGCAGAAACTTGGCAAAGTAAAACGCAAAGACTGAATTAGTTTTATAGGTATATATGTCGCTTTTTTACTTATCTACATAATTGTAATCTACATATTGCAGTGTGAGTCCAGTTGGCAGTGATCAGTCCTGCAGTAATTTTTTTAAACCATGTTCAGAAATAAATATTACAAATGGTTACAAGAATGTCAAACAATGATTGAAGACAATGAGCAATCTAAACAAGTTTTAGTAGCACTTTTTTATCAATGAATTGCAAAAAAAAGGAAAAAAGAATTATCGAAAAAAGCGATATTGGGTACATCCAATCTTTAAAGAACGTTATAATCGTGGATTTTATCATGCAATATTTCCTGTTATTACTCTAGAAGAAACTCGATTTAGGAATTATTTTCGCATGACTCCAACTCAATTTGAAAACTTACTAAGTTTAGTAGCACCATTTATTACGAAACAAACAGTGATTCGTGAACCTATATCTGCAGCAGAACGATTATGTCTTACAATAAGGTGCATTAATATATTTATAAAATATTACTTTTTATAATATAATTTGTACTTATTTATATAAGTTTTATTTACATAATTTTTACTTATCTATATACAATTTTATTTATACGTAATATTTAATTAAAATGTTATTTCATTTAGATTTTTAGCTTCTGGTGATTCGATGTCATCTATTTCCTATCAATACCTTATTGGATTAACAACTATAAGTAACATAATCGAAGAGACATGTCACATCATTTGGACTTGCTTGCAGAAGGAGGTACTTCCTTCTTATTTAAATGAAGAAAATTGGCTTAACATTTCTAACGACTTTGAAAATAAGTGGAATTTTAACCATTGCATAGGAGCAATTGATGGAAAACACGTTCTTATACAGGTATATGTTATTATATTAGATTTCAAAACAATATATACCTATGTAAAATATTAAAACTCATAAATTTTTTAATATTTTTTTAGTGTCCGGACAATGCAGGTTCTGCATATTTTAATTATAAACATAGTCATAGCATAGTATTACTTGGAATTTGCGATGCAAATTATATTTTTACCTTTGTGGATATTGGAAGTTACGGCCGACGGAGTGATGGTGGAATTTTTAGAGATTCTTTAGTTGGACAAAAATTCCATAACGGTAAAATGAATTTACCAAAACCAGAACCTCTGATAGTAGATGGACCATCTTTACCTTACGTGCTTGTAGGAGATGAAGCATTTCAGTTAACGGAATACCTACTTCGACCGTATCCAGGAAGAGGCGGTTTAAATCAGTCACGATTAATTTATAATTATCGTCTTAGTCGAGCCCGAAGAATTATCGAAAATACCTTCGGTATTTTAGTTAGTCAATGGAGAATTTTAAAACGACCTTTGATCTGTACCGTGAGCAAAGCAATAAAAATTGTGCAAGCAATAGTATGTATCCATAATTGGCTTCGAACGCAAGATATTGGAATAAATCAATACATTGAGGAAACTCTTGTTGATCAAAATGAATCTACCGGGTTTATACCTGGTTCTTGGAGAAAAGATATCGAAAATAGTGCGTTTAGAAATACTGCAACATGTGGTAGTAATAATAGTACACGAAATGCAATTAAAATTCGTGACATATTTTGTAACTACTTTAACAATGAAGGAGCTATATCATGGCAATTGGATTATTGTTAAACATTTCTATCTTTATACCATTACTGTCGCTTTATGTTAGTTTATGTTGCACTTAAAGTTTAATTCTAAAGTTTGATTTATATTTTCAGTTGTCCAATTTACAAATTTTTCATTATTCCATTGCTTGTACTAATGTAAATATATTTATGCATTATCTATACAATTATTTTATGTGTGATAATTATTCTACATAAAATTCTAAGTAAACTGAAATAAAATAAAACTTCTGATTAGTAATTGTTTAAGTATATTTATTTAAAAACGTTTAAAAAACCAAAAATAATATATTCTAACACAAATTTTATGTATCTAGGACGAATGAGAGTAAATAATCGCCGCTGTTATAAGTGCGTAATAATATTTTAATTTTAAGGTTACAGAACCAATCCAACTTCCGGACGTTTCGACTGACTTCCAGTCATCTTCAGCATACAGCAAAATTAATTAAAACGCAATGGTCATAATCAAAAAATCCTCCGCTCGGTCAAGAATATGAAAGTCCATCCAATTTTTCAATGGCCGTTGAAATAGTGTGATAATCATTATCTCAAATGAAAAAATTCAAGTCCTAACCGAGCACAAGAACCTTAAATTAAATCTTAAATAACCGATCAAATTTCGAAGTCGTGTAAAATAACTTTCAAATTATTTTTAATTCATACAAACATCTTATTAATAATGGATATTATTACATATTGATTGATAAAAATAACTTTGTAATGCTTATTTTAATAAAGCGATGTTTATGAAAAAAAAACATTGTGCATCTAAGGGTGCGGTGGAGTTGCCACTACAAATGCTTTGAAGCGTTTCTTGATTGGTTAATTTGTAAAATTCTTTTTTCAGATTGGTTAATCAAACGCTTCAAAGCATTTGTAGTGGCAACTCGACCGCACTCTAAGAATGTTTATTTGTGGCTGTGTTTTTTAAAGTGTCATAAATTTTAAATTATTTTGAAAAATTCTATTAAATAAAAGAAATTATCACAGAAAATATTACATATTTAATGTAACATAAGATAATAGAATATTAATCATAACAAAAATATTTCATAGAACATAATTCTTTCATTAGTTAGTTATATTAAAATAAAGAACCTTTTGAGAAATAAAATATCTATAAACTAAATCTTTGCCAATTGTTTCTTCAAGATATGGCTAATATTTGTACCAAAACCGAAAAGAAAATGTAATTAAAATTAATTTAAAAAATTGCACTTTTTCATTCTTTATCAGTCTTAAAAGAATAATCAGTAAAAAAAGTATCAGATAATATATCAGTTTTACGTTGTACCAAAGGTAGAGAGTAATCCCATAATGATGGACGCTTTTGTACTTCCAGGATTAATAATTCTTCATCATCAAAGTTTAATTTGATTCTTGTATTTTCATTTATTTTTGAATATTTCCTAGAGACCTTTTTAAGTGGTTCAGAGATTTTTTGTCGCTCAGTTGAATCAGTTGATTGTGGTATTTGTATAATATTACCTACAAAAATATTTTAAATATGAAAATTATTCAAAGATAACTACATTTCTACTTAAAAATTCTTTTTCTTTATTTACTTCTATCTTCATGATAAAATGGCTCTTGCACTAATTGCTCGGTATTATTTACGTTACTTCTTCTAACAATTGTTACACCGTCATCTATACAATAACAAGAAAATTAAAATATTTTATTTTAATAAATATATGAACAAAATAAAATTTATCATATATTTATTATATTTTATCATGTATCTATACATACCTGCTAACGGATAAAAATATAATGTTTTAGGATTAACAATATAAGAACTGTATCCATCTAAACAATCATGATCTTTTATGTTTGCTTCATTACATATCTGCTCACATACTCCACATGTTTGGACAAATTCGAAATTCTGTGTAAACATAAATAATAATATACATATATTAAAATGTTAATACGCAATAATACTTTAACGTTCAAATTTATTAAGAGGTATATATATTCTACATATTTAATCTAATTTTTGTATTTTATAATGAAAAATTAAATAACTTTGGAATAAACACTGAATTAATAAAACAAGTAACTTAATTATTTAAAAAGAAATGTTATATACGAAACATGACGTCTAGCAAAGTTTAGTTAGTACGAAATCTCGATGAGGAAGGTTATACTTCTAAATAAAATAAAGCTCATTTTTCATTGTAGTTTCATTATAAAAAGAAATACCTCATCTCCAAATTCCATTATCTTTGTAGTACCTCAATTTATCTTGATTACAATTGATCATAACCGTTCATGCTCGCTGTGTGTGACGCACATGTGTGACGCTAGAAGTTGAGTTAAATTTAACTTTCAGCGTCAAACGCTAGCATCTAAATTGAGATCACGTGACCACACTGACGCTGCTTTTTAGCGTCTCATGAAATTGTACCTTAAGAGACGTGATCGAATCCACGTATGTCTTACAAGGGAACACAACCAAGTGGATCTCTCCGATTTAAATGAGCTTTTAGTATGTTGTTCTATAGACAAAAATAAGAGACACGTATTTTTTTATACGTGCGGAGTCGCATGTTAAGGGGGTGAAATCCTCCCTTGAAGAAAATCGGTTTTTTTCTTTCGAAACGAATATCTTCGAAACTATAAGAGATAAAAAAAATTTTCTAGAACAAAAATTGAATGGTTGCAAGAGTACTTTACAACTATAATAATAAAAATTTTTTTTTACATATATTTATTGTATACCCCCACCCTCCACTCTAATTTTCAAAAATTTTTTAATTCTTGATATGACGAAAATTAAAGAGAATTTTACGCTGAAAACAACGATGTGTATTTAAATCACGTTCCGAAAATCCATTTTTTAGATATGAACAAAAACGTCTCTTTATATGCGCTCCATACGTATTCGTACCGCGTTGGGAGCATAAGATACCGTTCAATGAATACAGTCCAATACGCATCATTATCGTACTAGTTATTATAAGAGCTTTTTAGAATAATGTTATAATAATAATAATGATGATAATAATAATATCTAATAATAATAATAATAATAATAATAATAATAAGGTAATTATTTAGAATAGAGGAGGCAGCACCGATGACCTTGACATATGTTATCAAGGTCATGACCCTAAGTAACCTCCAACAGGTTTTAGCCGTCGCTCGTCCTTTGTTAAAAAGTTATGAACAAAAAAAGTTTTAAAATTAACCTTTTATTTCTGCTATATACAATGTATATATGATATTATGTGCTATTCCACACTTCTCACTGCTTAAGAGATGTACAACTTTCACGCGAAACACAACTCTCAGCCCACTTTCTCCCCCCTAGAAAAGGATATAATGGAAATGTTAATTAAACGTATTCATTTGTATATATTTTGACTTCTCATTTTAATTAAAAGAAATAACATGCGTAGATACAGTAGGTTCTGCCCCCCTGCGGGGGGGGGGGCTCCACTACTGTTAAAAATAACCTAACCCAACCCGTTTAGTGGTGTAAGATAGTTCTTACTTCGCGTAGAAAGTCGAAACCCACGTACAATAGTACAGACATGTGTATTAACGCGAAGCAAGAGCTACTTTACACCACTAAATGGGTTGGGTTAGGTTATTTTTAACAATAGTGGAGCCCCCCGTAGGGGGGCGGAACGTACTGCATTTAGGCATTCACTTTACAGTGACATGGAAGTTGCGAGCTCCTTCATAGAGGAAGAGGTGGGATGAGAGTCGCTTTGTAATATCATTACACACATTATTTGGCTGAATTTATTTTTAAACGAAAATCAAGCGACGCGGTAGCGTCGCGACGCCAAGTGCATAAAATAAAAATATAACCGTTTGACATGATGACATGATACTTGATGCGTGTATATGTTCATGTCGATGTCAAATTCACGACGCTACCACTAGCTTTATCTCGAGTTTTCACATCTTGAAACTTTAGATTAAAATTACTCAGAATTTAAAAGCAGAATCAAAAATCTAAAAACACTTTTA